AACTAACTAACTAACAAACCAAAGGGTCCTGAAAGTCTTTTATGCATTGGGGCGTCAAAAAAATAAAGGCCAATTAACTTACTGACAATATGTACCGTCAACAGTAGATGAATAGTTTCCCTCTTGTACCTGGTTGTCCTCATCATTGTCCAGAACTTTTTCTGTGGAAATCATACAAAATACAGCTTAGAAATGTGACCAAACAAAAAGGAACAAAGTGTAGACACCGAAAAAACAAAACAAAACAAAACTTAATAAAACAACTTACCATCTGGATCGATCCCAATTTCATCCAAGTTCTTGCCATGAAACTTGGCGAGTTGCAGGGTCTTCTCAGGGAGTCGATAGAACTCACGATGGATTCTTATGTCATGGCCAAGAAAGTTGGCCAGCTGGTCCATCTCTGTGTCTGTCATGTTCAGCACCATGGAAAGGGTTGCAGCATGCTTTCTGAGTCTTGGAGATGTCATTGACTTGGGACACTTTGCACCACACAGCTTTGCAAAGCTTCATGTCATTCATGTTCTGACTTGAACAGGGTTCATCTTCTGCCCCAGTGGCTTCAGATGTAAGGCTGTGCCTATCAAAGTTCATGTCATCTGGTGTTGTGGTGTCACAGACACGGGGACTCAATGAGCCAGAGACACTCAGTATGTCACCAAGAGACTGACGTTTTGTCCTTTTTGGTTTGAGGCTAGCATCACTGTCTTCGCTTTCCGAGCAGGTATCTGGAATGTAATCATCTGGACTGATATAGAATCATATAGTTCATCAGAATCTTCACCACCTGTGTCTTTCATCTAAAAAAAGTAATTAGAAATATGGAGAGCTGCAAGAATTAGATTTGTAAATAAATAAATAAAAATATGTGCAACTACTCTTAATGAATTGCTTAAGTATTTTTTCAAGCAAAAATAACAAATATTTGACGGTTCCAGGTTTTGTAAGATTGAGAATTTCCTTCTTTTCGAAAATCATTGGGTTGGGGACATTTGATGAAATCATCTTGGGCTACAAGAAAAAATGATGCCTGTTTTTTTACTGTTCTAAAAAGTTTTTAGACCAAATAATTTCTCAGTTGAAAGAAGGTAATCAACTAAAAAATTGAAAATGAACAATATGACAAGACAGATTCTACATGGTTAATCAACACTATGCCTGCTGGCTAACACTGGCACATTTACAGAAATGTTTATTAATGTGCACTGTCCTTAAATAAATAAATGAAATGAAATGAACAGTTTTGTCAATACTTTTAGTCCATCTCAGTCTTAGTATAAAAATCTAATTTTCGTTTGGGAACTCTGTCACAATCTGAAAATCTAAGCAACAGGATAAATAACATTTTACATCATTATAGTATGTATTATAGTTGTCTCCAACAGACGTTCTAGTCAAACACTGACTGAAGGTGTACTATTGGGATGTCGTGAGTGAATTTTGCAATGGCAATATTTTAGAACATGAAAACATTTGAAACAAATGGTTAATTTGATCTAAACACACTGCATTACACTATTTGATTGATTTGTTGTTCAGACAAAATGTCTGAGATGAGATGCATGCCAATATACACTAGATTTCATAGAAAAAAACCATTAAATTCATTGTAAAATAATTCTTCCTGTCCATCAAAGGTGGTTCTCCGCTCACACATCTTGACCAAAATAGGCTTTGAAGTTACTTGTGGGGACCAGTTGTCTCCAAACTTTCAAACACTGACTGAAGGTGTGCTAAGGGGACGTTGTGAGTATGTTTTGTATGTGAAAATGTACCTGGCAATAAACCTGATTCTGACTCTGAGCAAATGATTTGAGAAGAGAAAACACATTTGTCAGCAGCAAAATAAGATGAATAACTCATAACCCTGGTACTCTGCTTCCCACAGCTGAAGACAGAGAAGCTCAAGACTGTGTGGGTAAACTGTTGCTTGCTCTCTAAAACCTGATTTTCACACTAACAAACAAGCTTTTTTTCACAGGAAATGCTAGAGCAGATGTAGCTGTAAAGACAGCCATGAAACAGTAACGGACCACCTAAAGTGTGTTAATGTCTGAGGTGTCCCTGCACAGCTTATTTGCAGAAACCCCAACAGAGAGTGATGCAAGAGGAAAAAGCAGCATGACAGACAGCAGCTTGTATTGTTAAATAAAATGTTTGGTATGGACCAGATAGTAAAGGCAATTTTGTGAAAATATCTACTTCCATCTTATGCTTATAAGTCAACCCATCGTAAAGACAATGCCTCACAAAAAGGGATATGTCAAGCTATAAACAATTACTGGTGTGCAAAAGGCTTTCCAAATTCTTCACAAATATTTTGTCAACAGCGTGTAATCTGTGCAACACTGGAAAAGGTGTTCATTGTTACAAAGTGCTCATCCACTTTCAAATTAAGCATTTGACCACTTGCAAATGGATTTTATTGAATTAACACAGAGTGAAGCAAATAAATTCTGTCTAATGATTGTGGACATGTAAGAGAATATCTGGGGATTAAACAGGTCCCAGTGGGCGGGGGATGGACAAACAAAAACTCTTCTTCAACACTGGACCATATCTTGTGCAAAAATAATCTGAGGATGAAGCAGGTCTACAGGGTGCCATTTGAACGCAATTCAGAAAGAGTCAAAGAATTGAGACATAAATATGTGCAAGTGAGTACAATCCCACAATTTATGCATACTCAACACTATAAATTATTCATATGTCAGTATTGTAATCATAATGATTGTGCTTCACAATAGTGACCACTCCAAGTCTATTTCTGATATTGTCATGTGTGTTTCAGAGAGTCCTTGAGCTAGAGGTGGCTGCAGTGGAGCACCAGTTCATCTTCATTGATGTGCTTGGATTCAACCTGCGTGCCATTGTTGAAGTCCCTGGCCAGAGTGGAGGGAACATTACAATGTGTGCAGCGATTACCCACCACAGCGTCATCCATCACCATGCTACCCTTGGCCCCCACAACACTGCCCATCTGATCACATTCCTGGACACCCTACACAACACACTCATTCCATCAGATCAGATCAGACGGTTTCCACCGGGCTGCTCTGGTTCTTCCTCTCGTTATTGTTGTCTTCGTCCTCCTCCTCCTCGACTAACTCTTTCTCTTTGAACTTGTCCTTGGTGTTGTCCCCTGCCTCTCCCTCCTCCTCCCCTTGCTCTCTGTCCATTGTTGGCATCCATTGTTCAAAACAGGTAATTTGACCTTTGACCTGTGTATAGGTCTACTGTACACTAAAGCAGTGATTGGTTAGTGATCAGTTAAGCAGTTAGTGTTTGCACATGTGAGTAGTGGGTGTGTGACCTGGTTAATAAGTGTAGCATTTTGATTGGTTGTGGTTGGAAAAGGAAAGCAGGTCACTTCCTGTTAGATTTTTGTGTCTTAGGTAGAGAATTGTGTGTAGTGTTTTGAAATGTGTTTTATGCAACTGAAAACTGAGTGAAAGGCAGAGAAATAGCTAATGGTTTTGGAGATTTGAGATGAGGTTTTGCTCTTTGAGTGAGAGGTTTCAAAAATTGTGTGACATGTAAAAATTTTGTGTGTAAGCAGTTGCAAAAAAACATAGTTGTGATGTACACTGTATTTTTGGGGAAAATAAAATATATGTGTTACCGTGTATGTGTTTTGAGTAGAAAAACAATATTTTCAAATATTTTACAACACACTTATGTATGTACTGTTTGAAGTCAGTGTAACACTGAACAAAAAAAAGGCCCAAGTCATTGTGACGAATGGAGAAGAAGTGTTTTTCCATTGCCATGGTTACTTTCGGTAGAGCGGCTGCCGAGTGCTTGTCTGCTTGTTTGAGTGGGTGATTTTGCAGGCTGATCAACATCCCACCCATCCTGTGACCTATGTGTATTCAGAGCCAGTGAGTAACAGACTTTCTAAATAATCTTATTAATAATAAAAAATGTGTTAACGTGAGATAAAATAATTGTCAGCGTTTATTAATTAATTTGTTAACGTCATAATAACATGTCAGCTTGCCCAGCCCTAGCTAAAATAGCACACGACTTCTAAGGGTTTCACTCTAAGTGGCCACGCCCCTAATTATGCAGAACTTTCAGGCTATAATTTAAACAGGTGAGTTATAACAAAGTTCACCCCCTCAAAACTGTCACAAAGGGTGAAATTAGCTATATACACTTAAACCATTTTTGAACCAGGCTGTAAACATGTTCCTTTTTTCAGTAAAGTTGGGCATTTTATTATGGTGGTCACTGGAGATCTGGATTCTCTTCTGCCACTCCATGAATTTCAGTTTTTGGCATTTGTAGGGTTTAGTTTTGAGAACTGGAGGTTGCTGCTTAGGTTGTATTTATCAAGCGTCATGTGACAATTTTGAACATAAATCTAAAATGTCACTGCTGGGACTTCTTGCTCGTAGTTGCAGAAACACCCTTTTACACATCAAATGTATTGCATTCCTCCTTTTGGTAAATGTAGCAGATTAGCGACAATGGTGAAGTGACTTTATGGATACGCATATACAGGGCAAGATGTCCAAAATGACAGCTTTGCATGGCAGCTATACAATACTGGGTTAGACCAATTACACTGAACTTAATTTGTTCTTCCCTCTCATTCCTTAAATATGATGTTGACATGTAAAAATATAAATATCTGAATGAGTAACAGCTTATTTTTAAGAATATGATTGAAACATCCTAAGAACATGGATGAGACAACATTAAGTGGATTTTGCTGCAGTGCAGTGAAAGCAGGTCACGTTGTTAAACCCTTCTTATGGTTTTGAAGAGTTTTGAGTACTGCTTCTATTTCAAGCCTGCAGTCTTCGTCAGCACTTTTAGTTGAGGTGAAGGCAGGCAGTCATATCAGGACCACAACAGATAAATACACCCACAATCGCTTTAACAGAAACTGAAATTGTTAATTTTTTTTTAAACTCTGGCCAGCAGGAGGCACTAATGCATATTTGTGGTTCCTTAGTAGAGGAGGTGTAGAGTAACAGGAACCCACTGCATGTTATCACTTACCATATGTACTGTAGTAGACTGTTTGGATGCAGAGGACAACACATCATACATTAGTGTAGGGAACTGATTCGGGTGGGGTCTCACAGCGTTCAAAGGTAAATTGTGTGACATTACTCTTTTTTCTTATATGTAGAGATGATAAGACCTGGCAAACAGTCATGAATATGCATGAATACTTTATGACTATATAAAACAGAAAAGACAGCAATTTTTGATTTGATATGATTGTGGGTAAACTATGGTACCCTGCATTTGTGTGAACTTGAAACTCAAAGCTTTAGTGATGTCACTGAACAATGTTAGGTAGATATAAAAAAAACCCTGCTCCCTTCTAATAACTGCAATTTCCCCACTGTGGGACAAATAAAGGTTTTCTTATCTTATCTTTCAAACAACAGGTTTCACTCTGAAGAATGGATGATTACAACAATAACAGCAACATCTATATCAACTACAATGAATACAACTTTGAAAACTATGAGTATTATGATAAAATTGTATTCATCATGAATGTGGTGACATGCATAATCATTGCTATCGGCTTTCCTTTGACCCTCGTGGCCATCTATGCTCTTTACTCTCTGGTATGTAAACAGATTTATTTATATACTTATTTACTGTCTACGTCATGTGTCTGTCAGACAGTTTTTCTGTCTGTAAAGGATCTTGATCTGGTTTGGAGGCTATAGGTGTCAGCGGGCTGGGACAGAGGATCGTAATGATCTATACATTTATTGGACTATAAACACATGCAGTTTACATGTGTAGCTCCATTTCAGCCTTCTCTTAAACTGTTGAGGTTATCATTTTAGTTACAGATAAACAAAAAATTAATAGTCATAGCAAATTGTCCATAATTATTTGGGATGATTGTCATTTTTAATTAAAAGCAATCAAGGAAATTTTGTAGACATTAATTTTGGATTTTGGTTTTCAACAACTAGAGAACGGATTGCCATAAAGATTATACAGACATTTGTGGATCCCAGAGGTTGAATCATAATAACTCTTGATGATCCCCTGACTTTTCATTAAGCGCCGTCTTCAAAAATGTTCATTTGTCCAACACATGGGTTTAGTCAGCACCTAACAATGATTTTTCAAATCGATTAATTGAACAAATAATTGTTTCGAGTAGTCGATTAATCTAATAACTAATTTATTTATAATTTTTATTACTCTATTAATTCAACAATTATTTATACAAAATGAATGCCAAAAACATGTCTAATTAATAATATATTTGGTAACACTTTCTATGAAGGTTGGGAGGTAATGCGTCCATAAGCCATTATAACAGTTGTTATAATCATTTACAAACATGCATTAGGCTCTATAGCAAAGTTCATAACGTATTATGACCTTTTGATTTAATGTTTTATGCCAGTTTATATCAATGTGCGCCAAGAATCTCTGACCATGTTCCATAGGACATTATAACCATCGACTCTGCCTCGTTATAAATACACTTCAGTCACAATTTAGAATTAGTGATATAAAATGGAATAATAACTTATAGTAATGTTTAATGTTATATAGCATGTCTTTCTTTGTTTTAAGTAAAGTGTAAAAATATCTATCCCTGTATAAAATATTACAGGTGGACATAATACCATATGAGCTAATTATAAGAACTTATAACACCTATTTGTTTGCTTTAGGTAAAGTGACAAAATTTGCGCAGGAAAAACACTTTTATTTATGTTTCTTCACTTTACGAACAAATTTTTAACATTTTGCATTTTAGCACAAAAACACAACTTAATTACATGAAGGAAACTCATTCTCAGGGTTGGTGAAAGATGCTCAAGACTAACTTCCGTTATCATTCAGAACCTGCTTCAGCAGATGCTTTGCTTGCGGTTGAAAGCGTTTTGCTGGTCGCACAGAGTTTACAGTAGCTGACAATGTTCTTTGCATCTTAAGCTGATGATACACAGAGCAACCGTGGGAGCAATCGTGCAGGGCAATGTTTCCGTCAATGATAATGAGTAGGCTAAAGATTACTACAGTAATCCCCTTCCCCCACCACTCCGCCACCCGCCCCGCACCGCCGCTATCCGTTCAAAACATAGTCGGACTTTTAAAAAAACAAACAACAAAAGGCCGGAAATTGAACTTTAACTTACGTGCCCGGGAGCGAGCGAGCGTGAGAGAAAGATTATTTTTATTATTATTTATTCTCCTGTAAATTAGCGGAGAATAAGATGATCCAGCTGTAGCTGTGTGTCTGTCCTCTCTGCTCCACCTGAAGGGGCTGTGAGCTGCACTTTATCAGAATTAGGAGGCGGATTACTAAGTGACCAGTTAGCCTATAGAAATATTAAGGGAGGAAAAAACAAGTTGCTCGAGGCCGGTGCAGCAAAGTGCCTCAATATTAAACTACAGCTTCTTCTTTTGTGCTGCTGTTACTTCTAGCTGAAGGCAGCAGTGATGATGTCTGCAGCAGGGTGGGTACATCTAATGTAGGACTACTTTGAATTTCGCTACATTTTCCATTCATACCTTATATAACTTAACCAGTCTGTAATCTGCATTTTGCTTCATTAACAGAAATGAGCTCGGGCGCTTGTCACAGTCACAGAGCTGGGCAGATGCAAACATTTAGAAAATCAGGCAATATTTTTGCAGTTTAAGGCATTATGTTATACTAATACAACTGAAATCTAGTGAGCGCACACCATGGCACTGGTGACCCTGTCGGAAAGCGCCTGCGTCGCTCTCTAACAAGCCGGCGAGTGACACACTTTCACTTTCCATTAACGGCGCGTTTAAAGCGGCATTAGTCTCTGCAGAGCAAATGAAGACTACATAGACACTGTAAGATCTATGTCAGACGATCACTGCATTGATTGAGATATATTAAAAGTGTCCTGTTGTTGAACAGAGCATCGCTTTGGACATTAACCTGTTTCTTTTCTTTAATACACATTGGTTACTATTTGTTTTATAGCGATGTCCCACGGTGAGTCCATAAACAGAATGTCGCCGGTGAAACTGATCTTTCACTCAGCAGCTACAAGCTGTTATTTATTTTTGAGATGCACAGAGAGAGAGAGAGAGAGAGAGAGAGAGAGAGAGAGAGAGAGAGAATATGGTGGATAACATAGTTCTGTTGGGTTTTAAGCATGATGCACAGCTTCCTCTGTATGCAGGTTTACCTGCTTCAACAACGAGCTGCTCCGTGTTACTGCCACAATCATTCATGTATTGGCAGCCTGTGCTACTGCAAAGCAAAGCAAGCGGTTTGGTTGGCTACATCAAATGTTGGCTGGGTAGCAAAAGTGATATAGCGGGTGGACCACAGATTGATTGCAAAGTTTATGATGATTTATCCTGTTTGACCTCTCAAAATATCCACTTATTCTGGAAATGTCAGAGAACCCAGTTAGATTCTGAATGTGCAGAACTTTGAACATGAGCAGAAAACCTGCTGAAACAAAGGAGCTGTTAAAGTCCAGGAGTTTATCACTGAATTAAAATTATTTAATTTATTATTGATGAGGTAAAAAGGTGCCACATGCACATTTAAAGAGGTTACCTCAATCAGTCATGCCTGCGTGTGTGTTGATTCAGCAGTGATGATATTAAAAGTTGATCTACAGGAGAAACATATCTGAAAGCTGAGAGCTGCTCGGCATTATATTCTGTTACAGTTTTAGATTTTAAATTGTTTTATTATACCTTTATTAAACCAAAAAACTATTTTGCCAAGAGTGTCCTGGCCAAGGCAGGCAGTAGTACAATTGCACATTTAAGATGGGAATAAATAATCAATTACAAGGTCATTAAATATCAAAATGTTCTTAAATATTCGCCACAATTCAGCAACACCTGAATTTTGTGTGTCCCTTTACATAAATAATTGCCTGTTACGACTGTGTGCTTCTCTGTGCTTTCTCCATGTTTTCTGCCCTAGTTCTGCCTCTGATGTACTTTAGCTGATTGCTGAACAAGGTCCACCTGGCCTTGAAAGGCGGGCTTTAAAAGCTCCTGTGCAAGCATCAGAAGAGAAGGCTCCTTGATTTGGTATTGCAGGTCTTGCTGCATCTCAGCTGGGGCATTTTTGTGTTATGTTGTGTTTTTTGGTGTTAATTTATCATCTAGTTATGTTAATAAATTCCCTTGATTTGGTTGTTTTAAAGGTGTTTATTTGTGTTGAGTTTGGGTCAGTGTTGGGGTGTTGTTCACCCCATGTTGCCACCAAAGGGTGGGGCATAACATTGCCACAATAAATTGATGCAGAAATTGGTGCAGAAAAACACCAGAATGCAGGAAATTAAGTGTTTAACACTCACAATTTTCTGGTTCATGCTGTTGCAGTTTTGTTGTTATATTATAATTAAACGCAAACACAAAATGAGACAGTTAATAGTGTTGTTGTGCCGTATAAGTAGAAGATCTTTACTGTTGCTTTACCGCTTTACAGACTTAACTTTGGGGGGGGGGGGGATTATTATGTGGAGATATGAAGTTTTATGGGCAGGGCTAAGCCCCCAATGTTTCCAGATCCTAAAAACACCCTTGCTTGCCACTAGCAAGATTGCCCAGCAGCATTGCTCAAAAAGTTTCCCCGTGTATCATCAGCTTAATAGCAGTAGCAACCCTCTCCCTCGTTTCTTCCTTTAGTTTTTGGCTATCAGTGGACGTGAACAACAAAGTCGGGTCCCGCTGAGTCACGTCAAGGATGGTGCGTTCAGTAACGAGTAACGCACTTGCCTTAGTAACTGTAATAATATTACTGTTTTAGAAAAGTAATTAGTTACACTACTTTTTTAGTGGGAAAAGTAATATTACAGCAACGTGTTACTGCCCAACACTGTTGCCGACCATATTACATCAAGTAAGAAGAGGCTCAGATGTTGTCACAGATGAATGGCGAGCCTATGGACAGGCCCTAACAGATGCAGTGGACAATTGGCGACATCGTGGCAACCGCTCCACAAAACCTTTTAAAGAACATTTTAAACTAGCCTAATTGAATGGGAATACTGGTTGGACAGTGGGGATGAGAATGTCTTGGCATGGTGTTTTGCATCAAATAACTAAGTTTTGTTGACGTTTCTGAAAGCCATAGGTATTTGACGCCCTAGGATAACGGACTGCAAAAAACACCTGCAGAAAAGCCTACTTACCTGGTATGCTTCAGTTGACAAAGAAAATTCATTTCTTGAAGATTTATCTTTCTATAAAGCCTCACAGGGCCACAACCAAATTTAAAACAAGTAAAAACCAAGGAGAGATGTAACACAGAAATATGTTGTCAATATTCAATAGCCATTACTCCGGCTAAATCAGTATATTTTCGCAATTTTACTCATATTTCAAAATCATCAGAACAAAGACACTGATACTTAAAAGACCAAAGTAAATGTCCTTTCATTTCAAACTTATGTGTTTATTGCGAGATCTTGTAACTGATGTCTGCTAACATTCAAGTCTCGCGTTGCCAGTAGTCACGTCTCATACAGTTGCAGTTACATCCAGTTTTTTTTTAAATTTAAATTAAAATGAATGCAATGAACGTTGTGTGACAGCGAAAACGAGGGTAATTTAAATGTTTCAAATGTTTACTTGCATTTGACATGTTACACGCACCACAAGCTGCGTTGGCGAAAACTACATGTAACAAATTTTAACACTATTTTGGCTGCACTCATCGCTGGTCTGAAACAATCGGCTATAGCCAAGCCGTTAAATTTAGACCACTGATTGCCTCGATTTTGCCGGGTGGGTTAAAAGCAGATTACATGTAGCCTGTCCAAACCAGAGCTAAATCGTGGCTACATAGACCATGTCAATTGAATGACACTTAATATCTTGTAGATATTATTGACATTGTAAAAATAATGGGATATCAACCATATCTCATTTGACTGGGCAAACACCACAATTAATCAGATTAAACCATTTTGACTAAAAGTGGGCTACAATAGCCGGTCTGAGCTAAACCGTGGTTATGCACAGGCCACGTATAGAACATGGGAAAGAGATGAAACAAAAAACATTGTAATTACTGTTGACTTTGCTTACATGATAGAATATCATACACCCTGCAAGTTATTTTGGCAAAAACATCATGTGACCTATTGTGGCTAGAAGAGGGTTACTCTTAGCCGGACTAAATTGGGTCTATAGTTAACTCAGATAGTGAAATGACGGCTGTTGCTTGCTGAGATGTTACCGCAGTGATTGGCCAGTGTGTCATATCTGATATTTCTGACAGAACAAAGGAGAGTTTGATTAAAGATACATAAATGGCTCTGACTGCAGCTGCTGACAGGAGACAGATGACAGATTTGGGAGGAGGTGGACTTCAAAACATGTTCACAACTGCTTGTTTACTTTTACCTGCAGGTGAGAAGTGACCACGTTGCTCCGATCTACGTCATCAATCTTCTCTTTACCGACCTCATCCAGCTCTGCTGCATGATCGTTCAGGTGAAACAACCTGAGGATTGGACGATACTTTTCATTTCCTTTTCTATTTACTACTTTGTTCAGATTGCCAGTGTTTACTTCATGGTCTGCGTCTCCCTGGAAAGGTATCTGTCTGTCTATCCAGTATGTGTGGAGCTCCTTCTGTGTCTGAACATTATATTAGTTTATAACTCTGAAGCTCCTCAAAGACTTTGTGTCCATCTTGTGTTACAGGTATTTGGTCATCGCCCACCCGCTGTGGTACCGCTTCAGACGAACCATCAAGACCTCTGTGGCGGTCTGTGTCGTGGTCTGGGTCCTTACTCTTGTCTGTGTCATCCTTTATTATTTCTCTGTTAATCATGTGGTCACAAGAATACTCTTGGCTGTTCTCCTTACCCTTCCCTTCCCACTGTTTATATTCTTCCTGGTTGGGACCCTCAGAGCCCTGTCTGCTTCCGTCTCAGTCCCCTCTGATGATAAACGATGGATTTGGGGAATTTTGGTTCTGTTGCTGCTTATTTACACGCTGCTGTTCCTGCCTACAATCATTTGGTTTCTAGGAGCCCACTTTAACTATACCCTCATCAACCTGTCCCACATGTTTCTTAGGTTGAGTCCTCTTGCGGACTTAGTCCTGTGTGTCTTCATGAGGAAAGGGGCCAGAGACAAGCTTTTGGCCTCTGTGTGTTGCAGAATGGACAGCAATCAGCCGTCAATCAGTATGAATGATGACAACATTTCCACAGTCAGCTTAATGTTGGCAGAGAAAGAGGGAGAGAGAGAAAGGGGAGGAAACAGGAGGAGAAATGTAGATGAACAGAAAGGATAGAGACAAGACAGATATTGGACTTTTTACTTTTTTTGATCACTGATACGCGTTTTTATTTTGTTTATTTTTCTTTGTTATAACTTACGTATTGTCTACCCAAAACTGTATTTGTTTGCTTTTTTATTTTTGTACAAAGAAGAAACAAAACTACAAACTCTTTGTTTATCTTTATTTAAAAGTGTTTTGGTGGTTTAGCGGAAGGCGTGTTGGGTTTTAGGATGTGATTCAGAGCAGGTATTTTACAGCAGCTGTAGTGTGTTTGGTAATCAAATCTTATTCAACAGTAGATGTTGCTTTATATGAAATATCTACAAATCCAATTTAAAATCCATGAGAAACTCATGTTCAACAAATCTCTATTGTCAATATGAACATAACCTGGGTCTCTCACACCAAAGGCATGTCTGTTTGCCAGGCTTAGCTGGAACAATAGGTGTCAGATGGTCAGTTTCATCCACTACTCTTTACCAACTTCAGACGTGCTCTATGAGTGGCTTTGATTGTGGCTTTAATCTTAGGACTGGGCACATACAGATGCAAACAGGACGTTTTGACGCAGATCAAGTACTCTGACCAGAAAATCAAGTGCTGTCTCACCTGGTCCCTGAACAGCTTTTGTCAGTTGTTGGTACAATACAGTAGCATCCTTTTCTGAGTAGAGGGATCTTAATATTTGTCTGAATTGCTAGGGTGAAGTCTGATTTCCCCTCTAAATAGCTCCTTAGCTTCAGTACAGGTTTCATAGCACGAATCACTGCCCCCATAATTTCCACATCAGGATACCCCTTCCTGAGATCACCGTCGATCAGTTGTGTCCAGGCTACTAAAGCTCAAAGTATGTTTTGAGGTTGACTCACCCACATGTATGTCTGTTCTGAAGTCCTATCTGAAACCAGGGGAAGAACCACAGCAGCTGTTCCTAATCAGGGCCGTGCAGAGACCTTTGGAAGAGCAGGTGCTCAAAGTATAAAAGGAGCACATGGAACAAGGATTTAAATAGGTCTGTTCTCAAAATATCGATACAGAAATATATTGTTATGTAGTCCTTGATTATATGCGTATACAGATGCTTCTGTATCGATACATCAACAAATGCTGTGACACAGTTTTGAAAAATAAAACACAGGGAATACCCAGATCTAGCTTTAAAACACGGTGGGCTGACACAACTTACAGGGAACAGTTGCTGTTGAGGGGTTGCTGCTGCTGCTGCTGTTTTTGCTGCTGATACTACTGGAGGTGATCTGTGACTAGAGATATTATAACAAACATAGGAGATATATTAGCTGATGAAACAAATATGTGACCATGACAAGATGTAAAGATTGCTGACAGTATTTGGGACTGGCTCACTATGACTGACCTGCTGTAGTGCTGCAGCTGCAGCCAAGGCTGGCTGCTATGAGAAAATAAGAGAGAGACGCTCACAGAGACTGCTGCACACTGAGAGCTGCAGGTAGAGGAAATAAGATACCAGGTTCTTTCTGTTGGCCCAGAATAACCATGACAGAGCAGCATATCTTAACATTTCATACCTTTGTCTGAAATCTATATAGAGCCATTTCTTCTTCACTCTTTACTTTGATGTCAGGAATATTATTTAATGTAAATTCCTTTGTACAAGTAACGAATTGCAAAAGTGCAGGAGCGAATTTAAGCTAAGAGTGAAATCTCATTGTCACATGGTGTACTTTGACGTTTCCTGATTTAGCTTTCCGCTGGTGGCTCTGTTAGTTTCTGTGTGTGTTGAGACATGCTGTTACTCATTTATCACTTCTGTGTTTTAGATAGTATATAGTGGTGTTGTTGAGGATTTAATTTGATATTGGCTCTGTAAAAAATTATTATCAATAAAAAGGTGTAGAATTTTACAATACATATTTTTACAGACTGTTTTCTCAAAATGGGTTTTTCCTCATACTCTGAGCCTAAAATTTCCCCTTCAGTGCTTATATACACCAAACTTTCCAGTCGTCTTCCTACCTATATTGTCTGAATTACATAACATTTTATTCCCCAAAACAGGTCAAAAATAGTTTTTAATGCCCGTTAACAGGATTTATGAAATAATAAAAAGAAATATCCAAAATCCCCTCTGTAACAATATTTGAGTATAATGTGTCAAAATACAGCAATCATTTTAAACCTGACTTAATCCAGTGTTCAGATTTTTGTTGAAATAGATGTAAATTAGCACATATTTTGTTAGATACTGCCTCTAGGCTAGTTATCATTACACTGTATATCTTAAATAAATATTTGTTAATTCACTAATATGCTAACTAAGCCTATAAATAAAAAAAAAGTTTGAAAGTCCAACCCAACACATCGTTAGATTGGTTAGATTCTCCACAATTCAATCGTTCAGTTCATTTAAAGGAAACAAAGAGCCCCAAAGTCTAGTTCTTATAGATTTACTGGTAGAGAGAAAAAAGTGCCGACTCCCGTTACCTTTGAAGCGCTCGTTGTGTGTCCGTTCCTTGATCATTTATATTCCTTTAGTCTGTAAGGGTCCACCGATCAAAAGAATCAGTACAGCTTTTCATAAAAATGAATCCAAATCGTGAATCCCGTCAGGTGAAGTCCATCACTTTCTGTCTGCTAACTTCTGCCACACTTCCCCAGTCCTGCACCCTGTTGTTGGATATGTTTGTTTTCATTACATTGCTGCCTACAAAATAAAAGTGCATAAGCTGTCTGTCGGAGCTTGATCAAACAAATTAGTGTATTTGATATTATTTGATATAATATTTTTTATAAAAGTAATATTCATACTGTTTGACATAATTAAACTGTTTTTATAGTAGTTTCAGTTTTGTGCAAAAGGAATTAAAGGCTTGTCCCACATATAGGTATGGTTAATTCAGTGATTTTAGCAAATAAAAGCCCAGGCTATTAATCAAAGTTTTACGGTATGTGGTACTGCATTAAACTGATTCTCATCATATTTGTCAGGGCTCAAATCTTGGACCAATTTTGTTCTCCGAATATACTGTATGTTCCCCTTGGGTGATGTGATCCATAGACATGGAATTTCTTCCATTGTTATGTGGATGACACATAGTTGTACAAACCTTTTAAGCACACTGACCTCAGTATGCTGAGTTTCTGTTTTGGTACTGCAGTATCTCTCCCTCATCCCTGTTTTTTGCACCACGCCAGCCAGAAACTCAGTCACTACAACATCATTCATTTCGAAATAAACCATGTTTAACTGCGCCAAATCTGCGCTTTTGGGTCCAGAATCCCTCACATTATGACATAACAATCTGGCCAAAGCATGGACCCAGCATACTAACCAGGCTTTCTCTAACCAGAAGCAACCTTTTGGATATCATGAGCAGATTCTTAAACCAGATCACTTAATTATCATCACAAGTTGTTTTAGTCATCTCTCCTTGTTGCATGTGTGAGTGGCAGCAGAAAGCACACAAATAGAAGAAGCAGCAGAAGCAAAACAGACACACAGCACATTTTTCAACAGAAAACAGATAGATTGAGAATTGAATGGTTGTCTTGACAGCAGTTAACTATATGATCATATCTATACAGGGAGTATTATGATGTTTATGGTTCAGCTCTACATGTCTCATTGGTCAGACCAACAGGTTTGAAGTGGAAAGATCTGGGTCCTTAAGCAGTCAGAGAAGTCACACTAACTGATCACAGACAGAACAGAAAACAGATTCCGTTTTACAGGAAAGATACGGTTGTTTCACAGCCGTGAAACAGGAAAGAGCTAACCAACGTGTGTCTTTATCTGATGTACCATTAACACCAACAGCTTGTTTGCCGGAAACCACCGGGGCGTTTCCAGGCTCTTCAAACATTAATTCTTTAATTAAAGTATTTTTTGCCAGCAGGTGCCTTTGTATGTATTTCATTATAGATCATTAGTTGGTGTCACTGTATTGTATAACTTTGGTTGTGTTTATCTGTACTTTCTGGAATGAATTACTGTAAATAAGCTCTATTAAAAGAATTTCTATAGAATTTCTAAACCCTGGTTATGGCCCTGAATAGCACACTAGCTTGAATTTACTTGTACAATAAGCAGTTCAAATTATTTAGTTAGAACAGAAAACACATTTCTCTGCAGCTGGTACTACTACGCATCCCACAGATGAAGTTTGCTCTCTCAAACCAAATTTTCAAGCACGTTAACAAACCACATGCTGTTTCACAGGAAATTCACAGTAAACCACCTAAAGTGTGTTAATGTCAATGAGATGTCACACCACAACTTACTTGCAGAAACCACAACAGAAAGTGATGTAGGAAGAAAAAGCAGCATCGGGATGCTTTCTATTGCTCCTCTGTAAAAGGAAATAAGACCTTGTCATTGGGATTTTGCCTTCTTGAGTTTCCTTAAGAAATACAGCCGTCTCTGAGCTTTATTTGACAGGATGGGGATGTGAGATGACCATGTCTGTTAAAAAGGCCAGCAGCACATCGAACTTACCCCCCACCCCATCTTCAAGTGGTACTTTCCACCCCCATTTTAGAGTTATGTTACATCTGCCCAGTGCAGTTTACAAGATCATGGAGAGATCTGAGAGTTCCAGTTATTAGTCTAATTAAGTTGACACTTTTTGTTTCTGACTGTAAGTACTTTAAGCCTCATACTAATATAGTTTCAGAGCAAGTGAGTATCTACAGTGCTAGTTCTATATGTGTAGAGCCTGTGCTTAATGTAATTACATTCAATGCGCCTTTTTATAATTAATAGCTGCCTAGCTGTCCACTGTTTTCTTTAGTGGGATAATTTAGTGTCTAAAGCGGTTAGTTGGCACCACAGTGGTCTGGTGGAGCCAGCTTGTGGCTGTTCTAAGTATAGCAGTGTTTATTTATTTATTTTTTTCTTATTTAGCTCTTTATAATGACTGGTTTAATGGGTTGGAATATGTTTCCTTACTCTGTATATTATTCCTCATTTCAGAACCACACACACAATTTGGCAATAAAGAAGTCTTAACTGGAAATTCTGGACTACTTTGTGACTTGACTTGACTCGTCACTTCAGTAGTGGGTGGTGATTTCCTGAACCCAAGTATTGTGAGAGCTCATGTCTTTCTTTCAATGTCAGTGTCTTCTGATGCAAATTCCCAGGAACCTAAAACCTTTACCTGTTCCACGGTACCTTTGACTTCATGCTTAACGTGATGCATGTTGGACTTTTGGCGGCACTGCAAAACATCACCATGTTACATGACATTTGAAGCTCGCAGGAGCAAGATGGCTGCAGTTTCCTGAGTCCGGCAACCACAGTTGCTTTTCTCCAGCTGCAACAAGTTGGAAACACCTTTTGTCTGAATACTTTAAGAGTTGTGAGAAAACATCATTTGGTCATTTGAAATGAAGGTGCAGGATGCTTCCCTGGTAACAGCAGGTTGGGCTTTATGTTCATATAGACAATAGGGATTTGTTAACCAGCAGAGGTTTTGTTGGTTAACAAATTGGTTGGTCAGGTTTTAATTCAGTGCGTAGGTCGAAGAAACTGATTTTTCATTAGATTTCAAGAAGTTGTACTGTGATATAGGGTTTTATCCATATTGCCAAGCACACAACAGCAAAAACACCTGCTCTGTGTCACACTGTGTACGTGTCTGTTCTGCTTTGGTCGTTTAGTTTTCAGTCTGTCATATTATTTGTAGCCTTACTTAGTATCTGTCTTGTATCTTAGTTCTTAGTCCTGTACCTTAGTTCTGGTCTTAGAGTTCACTCCTGGTCTGTGTACTTCTGTGTTTCGCCCATGTCTGTCTGAGTTCTTTTTTACCTTCACTTCTGTCTGTTTTCCCTGTTGGTGTTAGTTTTGTGGTGATCTGTCTGCTTGTGTCTTTATTAGTTTATATTTCTTCCTCTGGTCTGTTATGTGTTCAGTAACCTGTGTCATGTCTGTTCCCCCCAGTATCTGTCTGCCTGCCTCTATGTTTTCCCTGCTGTCTCTCTGTCTGCCTCGTTAGCCTCATGTCCCTCACCTGTGTTGCCCCACGCCCTGCTCGTTAGTCCGTGTGTGTGTGTGTGTGTGTGTGTGTGTTTCCGTCCAGTCTCTGTCGGGTCATTACAGTGTGTTACCTTGTGTACCCAGCGTTGCAGTGTGTTGTCTTGTTGCCAGCCTACTTGTCATGTCTCCCTGTTTCCCTGCTTATTTTGGATTTGGGATTCTGGATTTCTCGTTTGG